TGTTTAAGTGAAGACTTCTTTCTATTGGCTGATTGGTTTTAGTTGCTGCTGGTAAGTAAAATTATTGTTGATAGTGTCCGAAAGGAAAAGGTGGAAAATAACGCATATCGTATTTGGACATTTTTTTGGATTTCAAGTTTTGAAATTTTGGATTTTTCTCTCGTATTTAATTTCTCTTTTAGCTAGACATTTTCAGAGTATGAAAAGCGAATAAGCGATATCAATAAACTGCATATATTTTTATTTACTTAAATGTACCTATTTGTGTTTATGCAATCACTTTTATTATACTCTTGTCTTAAATTATTTAATTTGTGAGGCTGTTATACAGGTCGATCTATTATACTTTTAAATAAAAAATTTATTTATATTATTAAATATCATACTTTTATTAGTTTATATATATTAAATATGCTATTTTATGATGAAAATTTATATATATATATATAAAGTTATATCAGATGGGAGTAACTGAACACCTAATGTATTCTTATTCATAATACCCTATGACGCAAGATCTTACAACCGCAGCAAGACTTCAAAGTGAAAAATCTATAGTAAAAAGATTACACTATGCTCCATTATTTACCATATGTAAACAATTTTTTATGAAAATATATGTAAAATCAAGTTTCACAGTAGCTTTGTAGCTAGTTAGGTAATTATAAGATACATTTCATATGATAAAAATAAAGGATAAATATATACACAAACTCGTTGTGTGGTTGTGGCTCTGTTACATGTGTATGAGGTGTCTCACATTGGACTTGGACTGATCCGATCACGGAAATCGAGACCGTCCAAATTAAATGGTTATAACTTATAATGAACTTGGAATATAAATATATTCTTACCACTAAAAAGTGGATTGTATAATTTGTTGAGGCATGGTTTCATATTCAAGCTTAATTAATGTGGGTGCGCATTTAATATATATACCTAATATTTTAAGTGTAAATTTGTGTGAGGCCGTCATACTTTTGTAATAAAAAATACATATTTATGATATATGAAACATTATACTTTTAGTTTTATTTATATTATTTTTAATTTAAAACATTTAATCATAAAAATATATAAATTTGTTAGGCTGCCTACAGTAACACTACATGGGAGCTCTCACAAAAATTGTGTTGAAGCTTTTGCTCGATGACTCTTCCAAATAAGGTATTTGGGCCCGGAACATTTGTTACAACAATACTCCAGAAAAAAAATACCTTCAAATTTATATATGATTAATTAGAGTCATATATATAAATAATATATATATATATATATATATATATATATATTGAAGTAAAAATATGTAAGTAAAAGTAGTATGGACGAATGTTTTCTATCTCCAAAATCGAATTCATTGACTAAATATGAATATTTATACTTGTAAGAAATCGGGGGAAAACGGGTGCGGTCACACGTACGTGAAGAACACCATAAGGCGGGAAAACTCAGATGTAACTCAATTGGGGTTCCATCCTTAAACCAATGAAGGATTTTCCATATATAAGCGATGTGAGACAACTCACAAGTGATATTCTAACAATACTACAAAATTCCATAATTCAATCAATATTATATTTAAATATATACTTGTAAAAGTTTTTGCATATTTAAAAAAACATGATTTAATCGAATCTTAATTTTTATTTTTTTTTGAGCTTCTAGAACAACAAAATTGTTTTGCAATTAAGCATTTCTTTTTAACAGTTGGGGCCGGGCCGGGCCGGTCCGGGTAAAATAACCTAAAGAGACTCGACTAACATATTATTTGGCTTCCATCGCATTTTCCCAAATCTAGCAAAATCACACCCGAAACTATTTAATCCAATATTTCAAGACCGGCAAAAGAATGTCTCCCCCGAAAGTCATTGCAAGCAAAGAGAAAAAGAATTTATAAGTCAAAAGGATAAACGTAAAGCACACAAACCCTCCTTTCTCTCTCCATCTCTCTCTCTCTCTCTCTAAATCAAATTATAAACGCACAGTGAACATTATTAAATAAAAAAGTGTCTCTATCAGTTGCGGGTGGTGGCCGGAGGTGGCGGTTGCCCACACGCTGCTCTCCCTCTCTCTCTAACCCTTGCCATTTTTGCGCCATCTTTTCTCGCGCCCCCTAAAAGACTTTCCCAACAATTCAGCTCACTGTTGATAGCGAAAGAGGGACAGATGATGATGATGATGATGATCAATAGGAGAAAGAAAGAAAAAACATAAGCTAATTTTGATCAAACCTACATAGCCTTTCATCATTAGGGTTTTGCCCTTTCTCTCTCTAGATTTTTTTTTTCTTGCTCCGTGTTTTTTTCTCCTTTATAAAGACAAACCCCATTCGTTCTTTCGTCCTTCGCTTGCTCTCCCCTTGGGGTTTTTCTTTATTCCTTTTCTTNAAAAAAAAAAAAAGTAAAAGAGGAAAAGACTTTAACATGATAATCCGAGGGCGAGAGCAAGAAATTAGCTATACAAAAGGGCTCTTTTGGAAGTAGCTAATAGTCGAAGGGTTCAAGTCCCGATGCAAATTAGGTTTCTCCTTCTTTTTGGACATTCATGCTTTGTCTCTTTTATTCTTGTCGTTTAGCTGTCTGAGAATTCTTTTTGTTCCTCCTCGATTTTTGGAATAGTCTTGGAATTCGGGCCCGTTTTCTTGTTCAATTTTTTTTTGTCCCTATGGTGCTTTTTTATTTTGCGGCGAGCGTTAATTAGCCTCACAACAGATCAGTACGTGGATTCATACCTGAAACTGTCAAGGTTCTATACTCTCTTCGTCGCACTACTATTTATGTGTTCATATTTATAAGTTGTATCATTATTGTTTGTCCTGTTTGTGTGTGTGGTGAACTCATATCTTGCATACATTAAGTATTTAATTTTCAAGTCTATATATGAAAAATCAAGATTACAAATTTTATTTGTGTATATATTCAAGGTGATGATATTTGATGTGTACAAACAGCTTTTTCAGAATGGACTATTAAAAACCCACCTATGGAGAATGATGATAAATTTGCATTTATGCAATTATAGCCATATGACATTTCTGCATCTATAATGATCCCAGCACCATATACACATATACATACATATAACTTCAATCACTAATCAAAAGGAAGATGATTCATGATAATGTATGGTATATATCTACCCATGTGTAGTACAGTATATTGCATGTGGGTAAAAAATTTGGAGGCTGAAAAAATTTAAAGACTAATTGGGTGAGAGACATACATACACAGTAATTTGTTCATTGATTTTCTTAACCTTCTATTTGAAATAATTTTTCATGATTTGCATGCTTGCAGCCTTGTATGTATGATTATGTTAGGGATTAGGGTAGTTATATCTTTAGATAGTCGCAAGATTATGGAAGAAGAAACACTTTGCTAGGAATAAAAGCCATGTAGTGGTGAATCATCAAGTGACACAAATTACACCATTAGTAGTTGAATTCTTGATTAACTTAAGCGTCTGAAAGACTGCTTGTTTTTATTAAATCATAATTTGTATTTTTATTATTGAATGTTGCTACTGCCACACCACTAGCTAATTTAATCATTTGCTTAAAAATTCATATTGATTCTTGAAATCAATTGCGTATATATTTTAAATAATTGAGCATCACTATACCTTCGTGGTGTGTTGCACTATTTCTCTTTTATATGTAATTTAGAAATTCATATCAACTTAGGACATAAATCTTCATTAATATGATCACATGTGTAGCTGTATATTTTTAGTTCTTGCCTGTTATCGAAAATATATTTTGTAATATATGTCTATTTTGTATTCTGTTATCAATAACGCGTTATTTCATATAACATTCTAACAATAGTTCATTAATTAGCAGGCTATGAAACTTTTCACTTATATCATCCTTCATGTAGATGATTAATTAGCAGTAGTGAACTACATATTGCAGGCTCACCAGAAAAAAAAAAAAAAAAAAAAAGTCAGAACATAATTATGAACACACTAACACACGTTCCTCCCGGTTTTCGCTTCCATCCCACGGACGAAGAACTCGTGGACTATTACCTCCGGCGAAAAGTCACCGGAAGAAGAATCGACTTAGATGTGATCAAAGATGTCGATCTTTACAAAATCGAGCCGTGGGATCTTCAAGGTACGAGATTTAGTGTTATATATAAAAAATTGCAAAAAATAAAGATTCCTAAATGATGTAATGCTAATATATATTCTGTTTGATTTGGTTAGAGCTATGCCGAATAGGAACAGAAGAGCAAAATGAATGGTACTTTTTCAGCCACAAGGACAAAAAGTACCCAACGGGCACTCGCACAAACCGGGCCACGGCCGCAGGTTTTTGGAAGGCAACGGGCCGCGACAAAGCCATATACACCAAACACGACTTGATTGGAATGCGCAAAACTTTGGTGTTTTATCAAGGAAGGGCTCCAAACGGTCAAAAGTCGGACTGGATAATGCACGAGTATCGTTTGGAGACGGACGAAAATGGAACTCCTCAGGCAAGTATATTCTCATTCATCTAAGTTATTATTAGAAATATTTCAAGTAAATGCTGTTTAATTAAAAATTATAAAGTGATTAATTGTGTTCAAAATAGTTTTTGAAATTTTGCGTGCGTGGCACTTATTGTATATGGTCAAAAAAACGTGCATGTGAAAGGCTGTGTGTGTGTGTGATTTAGCCATTTAGGCATGGCCATCAGCATCATTACATTTATATCATTACCAGGCAATGCTTGCATAACACATCTATTACCACTCCTTAAAAACACACAAACACGCACAATGATAAAGTGAATCTCATCTCTCTAGCAAGAAAAAATTATTAAAAAAAAAAATAAAAATTCTCAACTTCTACCAAAATATGTCCTTACTTTAGGGGAAATATATCACTACACGGAATAATTCCGTCAGTGTATTTTAACCATAGATTATCTACTCTACACTAATCTACATATATATCTAAAGGCTAATAATAACCACAGAGTCATTTCCGACTTTAGGTTAGAATCTTTTCCTTAATTTCGTAAAATATATAAATAAAGTTGTTCATTTCAGAAAAAACCTAACATTAATTGATCGTTTACACTGTCGATATATAGGAAGAAGGTTGGGTCGTTTGCCGAGTGTTCAAGAAGAGAATTGCCGCCATGCGTAAAGTCAACGATCGAGACTCTCCCATTTGGTACGAAGACCACGTCTCGTTTATGCCTGAAATCGACTCCCCCAAACACCAACCGAACCTCCACTACACATACCCTTACAACAATGACGCTACTAACTCGTGCAAGAAGGAAATGGGTTTAATCCCAACCGACCATTTCCTCCAGCTCCCAAATCTGGAAAGCCCGAAGTTCCCACACGGTATGGGCTCAGGCCCAATGATCCCATCCTTTGGGCCCACAAACCCGGCCCTCTTGGGAAACAGCTTCCAGCTGCATGGATCAGGGCTTGCTCGGAATATTCACCATAACCATAATTTCCAGTCGGATGAAGATCAGTTGACCGATTGGAGGGTGCTTGACAAATTCGTGGCCACACAGCTCAGCCAAGACAAGATTTCAAAGGAAAATGATGATTTTTGTAGAGACGGTGAATTGAGTTTGGTCGTGAAGAAAATTGTGCCGGAAAACGGTTCGAATTCGTCGTCGAGCTCCCAGATTGATCTCTGGAAGTGATATCGTATAATATCCGTTATATTGAGGATTTTTAATATTCATATATATGTTGAATTTGTTGTAAATAATAAAAAGTGGAACTATAAACTAACTACTAAAAAAAACAGATGATGAATTAGTACTATGAAGGTGGTGCTAGCTGCAGGGGTCGAAAAATTGCAGCTTAATCGATTATTATTATTTTTATTATTATTATTATTATTATTATTATTATTATTATTATTATTATTATTATTATTATTATGATGATGATGGTTATCGTGATCTGATAATAACCACGGTGCTGTTAATGGTGTAATTAAGCTGTGGTTAGTGCCGGATCGTTGTGAAGTCTGTGCATTGTTGATATGTAACGTGCTGTGATTAAAGTTATATAATATATGCTTTTTTTTATCAATATATATAATTTGTTCTGTGATTTTCTTGTGAATGGTATAGTTGGGGAGAAGCTTAATCAATGATGATTTTTGATTAAGACATCTCTGTTCTATATTGCGGGGGGTTTTTCTGCTATTTTCAACAGTATTAGGTGTGCGTTTTTATAAATTTTATATGAGTATATATAAAATCAAATGTAAAATTGGATAAAGGATATTGATTTGGTTGAATTTAGGTCTACTATTAGGTCTCTTGATTGTTGTAGCACTACATATGAAAGATGGGGGGAGACAACATAATAAGGTGATTATGTGCAGGATGAAATGGGACCAAATTCTTTTATGATCACAAATGAAGGGGCAAAAAG